CCAACACACACCACACAACCACCACACACCAACACAACACAAACACACCACACCACACACACACACACACACACACACAACACACACACACACACACACACACACACACACACACACACAACAAGTTGCAAATGGAGCAAGATATTTAATATCTTTTATCGACTAAAGATGCAAAGGACAGTCGTAGGGCCCGCTACCGCTATTACGTCAATTCGAGTCTCATACTCGACAAATAATATTCCGCGGGACTGCGCGCGAGAACAATCGATTGGTAAGCCGATGTCGCAACCATTTAATGAAATTCTGTATACACAACCCGCCGGGAATAGTGGTACAAATGAACAGCGTCCTGTCTAAAAACTGTCAAAGGGCTAAGGTAGTTAATAAGTACAATATCGATAAATGGAGAAAAACGGTATAAATTAGTTATCTGACGATTGTGGTCGACGTGTCTCACAACAAACGTCAATGTTTAGTACAGTAGATTAGAAAAAAAATCGTTCAAATTGCGAAAAAAGTATGAAACATTGGCTAACACTGCATACTTTTGTATGCATCTTCATTTAAAACGCAGTGACACTACGCGATCCAACTACAAACTTCGCGTCGCATATTGAATTAAAAACTGGCCGCCGTTATTTCTTAAAAAATGCTATATCTCGTTCTAATAATCTTCGTACAGACTTGAAAATTGAACTGCCAGAGCGATAATGTGGTGTACATCTTTCATACAACACGTGTAGGATGTGATGCCAAGGGCTAGTTCGGCCACCATCTGAATTCAAAATGGCGCGGCCGTCATTTCTTGAAAAAAAGCTTATCTTGCGTTCATAATCTTCAATACCAGACTTGAAAATTTACTGACAGTACGTAATTTTGGGTACTATTTCATAACAACAACGTGTGCCAGCTGTGATAGCCAAGTGGCGATTCAAAATGGGCCGGCCGCCAGTTAAAAAAAATATACAAACTAGCAATATTTCCGCTCACGGAAGATATAGAGACAGTGAAAAGTGCCCAACTGGCCGCAGGTTAATACCCATCCCCGCCAGTCGACACGCTGCCGTATCCAACACGCGTTGAAAACGATGGAAAACACGAATTTAATTCGTGGATGTCTAAACACGCATTCTTGCAAACGGCCGCTTCTTTCACATAAAACGCGGACGTGTACATAACAGATAGCTATCTAGCGCCACGAGCACGCACGCCACAAACAGAAGCTATATTACGCGCGCGAGCACGCAGCACATTAACGACGCTACCTATGACGCGACGCGAGGCACGCACGCACTAACAGGTACTATACGCCGCGAGAACGCACGCATGCACGCCCACATAACAGACTAGCTTATAATAAGCGCGCCGAGCCACGCACGCACGATAAACACGTACCTATACGCCGCCTAATGCAAAATTGGTATTTCCTCTCCACCCTGCCGATAAAACGTCTATATTAGATTAAAGTTTTACAAAACATGTCGGAACGCAGCATAACCTATTTATTTCAAACGCCATCGCTACAAAGCGGCTATAGTGCCATCTACGGTCACAAATTGTGATTCATTTTGGTTTATAAATTATTTTTGCGATATACAGATTGCAATCGTTTCTATGATGTACGTCGATGGTTGCTCAATTAAAACTGACTTCTTCTTACTCACTCATTTGTGTCCTTTTTTGTGGTGAGCTACAGTGTCATTGACACTTTCATTGCATTGTGAAGTGAGTCTTAATGAACACCGAATTAGAAGCGGTTCACATATGTATGGATATAGTATTGAAACTTTGGAACATATAGAAAATATTATATACAATAACTATTGAAACATTTCTTGCGGAATGAAGCAGCTAAGACTCATCCGCTTACGATGTGAGTGGGGTATCGTGATGAGCCTCTTAAATTTTATACTGTGCAAAAGACAGGACTTACCGATGGTAGGTTCAGTGGAAGCAACTAGATAAAGGCCAATAGGTGATTCAAGTGACAGGCCCGATTTATGCAGATATATTGCAGCTGTTTAAGTACTTACTTTCAGATGTCAATATGAAAAATAAACTGATTCGTCAACTGCCTGAATTTTGTCTCATGACGTTTGACTCTAACCTCTCGTCAATTATTACATTTGAAAAGGCAATACTCTATATTTGTCGGGTAACGTGCTTAGACTCGGTGTGTCTAACACACAATAAAGGTCAGGACAACATGGATGTCAGAAAGAGCGTATTAAGAAGGCCTTCTTTATACGCTCTTGATGTCAGGTATCCTATAATGCGAACTGAATTGTACTCAATGATCTCTTTCGAATGTGAATGATGATTTGTTTCAAGGCCGTACTCCGTAACTTGTAATCGTCGTTCTAATTTTGAAAATTCGAAATTTACTGAGTGCTAACTATATCGGCCAATCACTCCTTACTTTGCCACCAATTTTTATACCCGAACAAATGAGTCGCTATATTCGGATCTTGGAATTTAAGATTAATATATTGGCATCACAAAGTGTGGTTATGACGGCGACTACCGTCTCTTTAAATTTGATCTCAATCCGGATCAATGCATTACAAATCATCATGGCTATCCGCATGCAAGTGTGTAGTTGAAACTGGAAGTGAAGTTCGACCAAGGACTAACGAAGAGTAGAAATGTTATTTTGTTTGCTGTATATGACGGAAAAATAAAACTCTTACTAAAGCTAGAGACATACTTTAAGTATAAATACTTACGAATTAAATCGTTACACGGAAACTTAAGCGTCAGATAAGGTCAGAGATGGTTTTATAGGAACATGTTCTAGTTTCGATATGCCTACAGTTAGACCATTCTGCGCAATAGGTAATACTTAAAATGGTACTTTTCCAGAAGGCCATTGATTTTGTATTTACATTAATGAAAATGAAATAGGTGAAGTGTTCGACTCATGTGGAATACCGCCTCCGCGCGTTGTGCAACAGTAGGGCCTATCTTCCGAAATGTTTAAAGTGGTATGTAACGACAAAATCTATCAGTCATTCTTTACGAAAACCTAAACAAATATAGTTTAAAAAATAAATTAAGTCGTAATTTTAGCCTTTATCATGCATGTAAAAAACTATTTGTTACATCGATAGGTTGTGTCTTAAAAGTATATATTAGAAATTTACGAAAAAAGAAAAGATTGTCAAATGATTTACTAAATGATTTACTAAAATTAGTATTTAAAAAAACTCTTTGTCTTTTATACCATTAGTTATATATCCACATAGGGATGAGGGCTAAGAAAAAAGCGAAATTTTAGTTTGAAAATGCAACACTAGGGTGGCACTGGCTGGAGAGGGAGGGCGGGGTTATGTCAACCATTGGTTCAAAAATGCACTACCAGTGCGACACTGCTGGGGACTGACGTCACAGCCAGGTCACCAACTGTGACGTCATTTCTTGTTCCAGAAAAAAAGATAAGGTAATAAGCATGCGACGTCACTTCCCAATTGATAAGATGAAAAATTGACAAGATAACAAAAGACAAGATAAAAACTGCTGCGGCGCTTCCTATGAGACCTGTGACGTCACATCCTACTCAAGCAAAAAGACAAGATAGAAAAGTGTGACGTCACTTCCCAATTGATAAGATTAATTCGATAAATTAATGAGATAAAAATACAAAGTATAAACTGTGCCGTCACTTCTTATAAAAACTGTGATATAAATACCCGTTACAGAGTCCTACGACTCCTCCTCTAACGCCTCTGGTCACGCACGCTCGCACTCCGCAGAGCTTTACATTACTGCGTATTGCACCAGCCCTCTTGAGTCCGCTAAACGCGGCAAGTGTAATGTTGTTGCACGTTGTCGCATGCGTTTTCGATTCTAGACGTCAATGCCACCCGTAATGGCTTGACTACGGCTGGCGTTGACTGATCAGTAGCTGCCACTCTTTTTAGGAACTATCAGTGCCTAAACGTCTCAAAATTCATTTATCGTAATATAGCTGTCATTGTTGTAGATCGGAATTCTGTTATGTGTTTACGTTTTACATGTCTATGTATTTTAAGCGCGTAGTGAATTTAAACGCCACGAGCATAATGATTTAATGCTTTCTCTCTTTCTTTCTTTATGTACTCACTTATTTGAACTGGATGTGTTTTCAGGTCTCGGGTATGTAATTGCGACTAGTTAGCTTCTTATCTTAACAAACTGCTCTGGTGATCTTTTTCACTATGAACAATACTGCGCTGTATAGCAAGTCCAAGTGACGCGTTGCTATGTCCGTCAAGACTACTGAATTGTTCTCGAGGCCGCAGCAGTACTGGTAACATTAAGACAACTCACGCAACTACTACCATCTACTAGGTCGGCTATTCCGATGGACCGCGCTGTTATTTACAATGGTATTATTACCCTCTTGGGTAAGCATACGTATAAGCTCTAGCAATCATTATTCATTCTAAAATATCATATGCCCCTGCGATCGTAGTCGCAGGTCTCTTGTTTACGCTCAATCGGTCGCTCAGGGAATCCGCTATACTATAGGTTCAGTAATGACCACGCCGTCGCGAAGTGGCTGCTGCCATTAACGGCGCCTGCGTCATAGTTCTATATGGTTGTTGTCGAGAGAGGCAGGCATTGTCGCGCTCGCACTCCTTATTACGTTCCCGTACGCGATCGGATAAAGAGAGACAGCTATATAT